GTCTTTTAAAGGTAAGTGCGTGCAATACCTTGTAATGATTGGTATTCATTCATTTCATTATTCACTTCATTATCAAGAAAGAAACAGGCAGCCCTTTAAAACATAATTATAAAGGTGTCCATCTTTACCCATTTCATTAATATAAAAGCCAAGAGGTAAGATGTCTAAAAATACCTGCAAAATTAATCAACAAATGTGTTCTGTGAGCTTTGGCTTATTTGGAAAATGATCTACTGAAAAATACTGGTCAAAAATAAATCACTGGGCATGTACGCTACCACAAAAATATAGGCTCGACTTCTATGTGTTTGCCCCTTTTTTTCTTGTTTTTTTTCTTTTTTATTCTCTTCCTTCAAATAAATCAAATGTTAACAGGAAAAACATTAATTCTTCAACAAACAAAGACAACTACTATAGTGAGTTAGTTCATTATTGTCTAAAATATACCATTAGATATCTATTTGAGTAAAACAATTCATTGTTCAATTTAGAATCTTTTCAGTGCTACTCTTAACATTTTATCACTAGCTACTCTAACAATATTATGTATCCTTCAAAATCAAAACAACTGTGAAGAAAAAAAAATCAGAGACACTAAAAAAAAAAAATCAATCAACATTGTTGCAAAAGTCTTAAATTAGTTGTGCCACATGTGTTTAAGCCAATAAACATAAGACCAGGGATTTAAAAATCAGTCTGAAACATGACAGGATGGCAGTAAAGTGACCTTTTTCCTTCTACTGTCATCCTCCTAAAGACACGTGTGAAAGGTCCCTTTCATTACAGAAAGATCTATAAAAAGCCTCTGTTTAAATGCCTATCTTATATTTTTGAAAAATATTTCTAGTGGTTTCCTGACAATGACCTACTAACCTCTCTTAATACCCAAAGGGAGCACTAGGAAACCCTTCTGGTAAGGCACCCAGTAAAAGAGAGACTGACAAGACGTTTTTCAGTGTTACCTGAAGCATGTGAACTAACACTGGGGCTGTTTTGTTGGGATCTAGATTTTGCAGGTGTGTGAATGGAAGTCTCGCCAAATCCTGATAAAGAACCTGTACTCTGCTTCAACTCCAAACCAGACAGTTCTGTCAGACTGGATGGGACTGGGAGATAGAGCTGCTTATTACGCACCAAAGGACTTAATACTCTTTGGTCTCCTGCGCAGGGAACAAACCCAAGCTGCAGACTTACATTTACTCCATAAGCTGCATAATATCCCTAAAAATCAACCCATTCTCAGTGGCTGCTGGTGTTTATTTTTTACCAGAATGAGTAAAGAACTGCCATAATATTTAAATTGATCTTCTATCCTAGCCAATCACTGTTTTGACATGACAGGCAAGCAGCAGTAGCACGTCAAGAAATGCTGTTTCGAAGCTCTTCCAGTCTTCACCACAGTTAGCAGTGATATCACCAATATCTTGCTTTTCAAAGCCAAAAGCACACAAGCACCACAAGAAAACTATCTTTTCATATTGGGGTTCTGAATTAGAAACTAATTTTGTCTAAGTATATTAAGATGTTAAATGTCCAATAAAATGTTACAAGAGAGAACTGTGTGGCTTTTTGAGGGAATGAACAGCAGGGCACTTGATAGGTTGTGGCTTTGTAGGTAGAAGAAAGAATGCTCCTCCATGAGGGGAAAACATGTGATAAGACATCTGCACCAGGATAGCAAGTTAAGGATGTAGTGCAACAGTAATAACACTGAATTACTGTAGCCAAGTAGGAAAAGCTGTCACTCTTACATATTCTAATCATGACACAATCTCTCTTTACTGTTTGGTTAATAAAACAGAGATACAAAAGACAAACAAAGCAAACCCTACTGAATATCACCTTGTCTTCCCGAATAGTTTTTTTCCAGATCATGCTGCAGAAGTCTGTTGTGGAAAGATAACGGTTCTTTATTTATCCTGAATTCAAACTGTAACACAATATTTAAGACAAATGTTAAAGTTTTCAAATGCAAATAACGCCTACACAGACAAACACAACCTCAGTAGTAACTACGATTCTCAGGAAATTCTACGAATTACTTAAAAAAATAATAACTTCTCCAATAAGAGGTTTATTCACTCTTTTAGCAAAAAAGCTTCAGGGTTGGAAACCAAAATGAAAATATGGAAGTTACCAGCACATGCATATGTAGTTGACTAAATAAAGAAAAAAAACCCCACCCTGTAAGGAGTACAGGAGAAAGAGACGTTCAGACAGAAGCATAAGAAAACATACATGCATACATATATATATATATATGTACATACATATATAAAGCTTATGGCAGGGTATAGTACATTCCCTTGTTTTTACTTCATATGTCCTTAAGAGGATGAAATAAATTACTAAAATACTATCAGATACATTAGATAAGTCAACAAATGACTACTGAAAAGGTAGTTCCTATCTGAAAGCATACAAATTTGTATATATCATACAACTGCTTTAATTCATATAATTATCCAAGAAAAGGTAATAATTACTGGTTTGCCCTTATCTGGTATTGATGAGGTCTGGATAACCAGCTGAAGACCACAATTATTAACCTGCAAGTTGAAAGAAAAAGAAATTAAATGCTACGTTTGTCAAAACCAGATATCAACACCAAGAGTTAAATGTAACAATACAGGCATTTTCAATAGCAAAATGTGTCAAGAAAGGAACTATTATGCAAAAATATTATGAAGAACACATCACAGCACTAAGCAACACTAAATAATTTTTAGCTTTAAAAAAAAATCACGCTGTTTTTAGTTTTAAAAATACACTGAGAGCACGACTTCCATGGGGATGCAATTCTCATCATGAACAAGCGCTCGCATTTAAACACGCCTTTTCTCAAAAGGCAAAACATGCTGGTCTTTGGGTTTGTATGACAAAATTTGGCACCTACGTGCGAAGTAACCAGAACGATTAACAGAAAACCTTAACCGAATGTCTCATCCATCCCCTCCCAGCGCATCACAGGGGGCACACACACACACAAACAGCGCCGGCGGAGCCGCCGCCCGCCCGCACCACCCGCAGCACCTACCGGTGCGGGCGCGGCCCGCGGGCCCCGGCCGGTGCGGCCCTTGCTGGGCACCATGTGCCGCTGTCCCTCAGCCCCGCACGGCCCCCACACTCCGCACGGCCCCACGCCGCCGCCGCCACCGCCGCCGCCGCCCTGTCGGAAATGGCCCCGCCGTTGCCGCGGCGACCGCCGCTTCCGTCCCGCCCGCCGGCCGGGGCGGCGCCGAGGGGCGGGAAACCGTGAGGGGACGGATGGATGGAGGGAGGGACGTGGCGCCGCGCGGCCGCCCCTCTGTGCCCGGTGCCGGACCGCGTTCCCCCCGCGTGGTGAAAAGACACTATTACAGAGCCACAGATTGACAGGGCGGGTCAGGATGGAAGGGACCACAGTGGGTCACCTGGTCCAACCTCCCTGCTCAGGCAGGGTCATCCCAGAGCACCTGGCACAGGATTGTGTCCAGATGGTTCTGGAGTATCTCCAGTGAGGGAGACTCCACACCCTCTCTGGGCAATCTGTGCCAGTGTTCGGTCACCTGCACAGTAAAGTTCTTACTCATGTTCAAGTGGAACTTCAGTTTCTGCCTGTTGCCTCTTGTCCTATTGCTCAGCACCACCGAGCAGAGTCTGGTTCATCCTCTGATGCCTCCCTTTGGATATTTATACCCCTCAATGAGGTCTTTTTTCAGGGCAGAACAGGCCCAGCTCCTGCAGCCTTTCCTCATAAGAGATTCTCCAGTTTCCCAATCATCCTCATTGCCCTCCACTGGATCCACTCCAGGAGCCCCATGTCTCTCTTTTACTGAATTACAATTGTATTTTTCTGAATTCTACATCCAAGTGGCTGTTTGTGAAAACCCCTGACAGGACAAGAAGCTGGATGTACCTTCCAGGTGCCTGTTCTGCCTCAGGGAATTACCTTGTGAGCACAGACTGGTCACAAAATATGTAAATCCCTGAGGTTAGCTGCAGCACAGAACAGTCCTTTGCTCATACTGGTCCTGACCTTGTGCCTGCCCAGGGAGGCAAACAGCTCCCACAAACTCATACAAAATCAGACCCACAGTCCCCGTCCGTACTGTCTTAAAATGTGCCCTTTGTGTTTGTATTTCTGCTCCCGCTGACATCAACAGCAAAGTGATGCCCTACCCAAGACATATTACAGAATGTCTCATTAGCAGAGAACTGGAGATTTGCGTAGTGATGCATGTAAATATATTTCATAAACAAAATATTTCATTGCTTAAGGCATGTTAAAAAATAATCCAAACCCACTGAGGCAGAGCAGTCTCAGGATGTGTCCGTGCCAACAAACCTGACTCATGAGGACTGTTTGTCACAGGGATGAGAGGAACTGGCCCCAAGTGCAGCCTCGCTTTTCGTCCATCCAAATTTTTAAGAAAACATTGAAGTAACACAGACAAAGATGCCACAAATGAAGTCGTGACTTCAAGATCCAAGCTATATGTGACAGTTCAGGTCTAGACACTATTGAAAAAAAGATCTTCCCTGACTGAAGAATGAATATTTACATGGAAATTGAAAAGTTTTTGATTCTAATCTTCAGAACGTGAATGTTCACTTTAGTAGCTGAAACAGTCCACTGAAAGAAAGTGCAATACTCTTAAGTTCAAAATAACCACTATATAAGTGTTTCAGAAAAATGGCCTCTATTTTAATTAGTTCTTAAGGGGGAATGTTTTTATTCTGTGTAAGTACCATACAGAATTACAGAGTAGACTGCTCTACAAAAACAACATGTATCCATTCATGTCCTTGTTCACTCGTGTTTCTTATTTCCAAATCTCATCCTCGGCATTTAAAACCACACTTACCCCAGCGAAACCTTTCTGAATCTCTTAAAACGCAACGCTCTGGTCGGGGCGCAGCGACTCAGCCCCAGGGCTGTACCAGGCGACGAGAAGCTGAGACGTTGCTCTCCGGCGAGGAACGCGTTGTTTTCTGATGACATAAAAGCAATCCCGATGGAGTCGCCAACGAGAAGGCCACTTCAGCCGCCCGGCTGGCCCGGGGACAGCACCGCTGGAGGAGGGTCCGACTCCGCCGGGGGAGTGGAGCCGGGAGCGCCGCCCCAGCGGGAGGGGACGGGAGGGGACAGGAGGGGACGGAGGGCGGCTGTCGCAGCCCGGGGCAGCGCCGCTGTCGCGGCGGGCTGAGCCCGGCCATGGCCCAGCAGGAGCCGGCTGAGCCCGGGGCTGCGGGGAGCGGCCCCGTGCAGATCCGAGTGGCCGTCCAGGCAGCCGCGGAGGAGGAAGAGCGGGAGGAGGAGGACGAGGACGAGGAGGAAGACTCGGGGGGCGGTGGAGCGCTGTGCCCCAGCTGCAGCGAGGAGGACTCGGGGCGGTGCGGGCGCTCCAGGTGAGCCCCCAGGAAGGGGGTCCGGCGGCAGGGCAGGGGGTCCGGCGGCGCCCCGGGCGGGGCGAGGAGCGGGGCGAGGAGCGGGGCCGCCGCGGTCACCACGTAACGGAGCAGCCGCGGCTGATGCAACGCTGAGGGGGCGGGTGGGAGACGGGAACCCCCCCCAGCGAGGAGACACCTGGGAGGGAGCTGCCCGGGAACCGATGGCTCTACCCGGGCTGCGGCCCCTCCGACCCCAGGGAGCTGCCGGGGCCGCGGCTTCCCCATGCCACTTCATTGCCTTTTACAGAAAGGGGTTTGAGGGTTAGTTGTTGTGCTTTGGTTTTTGTTTTTGTTTTGTTTGTTGTGGATTTTTTGTTTGTTTTGGGAGGTTTTGTGGTTTTTTTTTGGTTGATTTTTATTGCATGGACTCGATATTTTATTGCACAGACACAGTTATTTCCTTAGATATTTAAGACATGGACAGACAGAATCGTGTTATGGCCTTGGAAACAAGGCGACTAGACACAAAATCAAGGCCATTAGAAATGCAGAAAAAACCCGCCACTTTATACTCTGCGTTTTACTGTTTGATAATGCCAGTAGTGCTGTCTGCACTCAGTAGTATGTTGTAGGAATTACTAGTGGTGCCTGAAATTGCTTTGATGCCTACCAGATTATCTTACCAGTAAAAGGCACATCCAGGATTTTTGTGCCAGAAAACTGCAGAGAGACAATGCTCGTTAGTTGTAGTTCATCTTATGATTTGTACTGATGTAGTACAGTAATGTACTGTACAGATGCAGTAATAAATTGTCATGTAAAGATTTACATACAGTAGCAAGAAATCCAGTATTCTGTTTGTACATCTATTGTTTCTAATTGATTCTCTAACTTCATATCCTAGCACTGACTCAGAATGAACTGCAGCGTGTTATTTTAAATTACAGAGGGCTAGTTGGGGAGGGGGAGCTTTTTGCAGCTGCCAAAATTTTCAACTATATACTACAGAAACAGGAGTTGAGCATAGCTAGGCACAATTAGGATGTTTAAGCTGAGTCTGCTTAGTTTTTCCACAATCATATACAACTATTATTTTTATAAATATGTACAGCAGTCTACAGTGTTGCATTCCAATTACTGATTTCTTAATTTTGGGAAATTATTTACATTTGTTATCTGTGATAGTATTACTTCTGTAAGAGCTTCTAGTCCTGGCCTAGACTAGAAAAAAGGGTGGTTATTTTTTCAAGCTTTGTAACACACAATAGCTACTCTTAAATGCACTTATTTATATGATAGGAAATTATTTACAAGCAGTTTGAAAATTATTAGTGATGGTCTAAAACTGCTGGGAACAAGCCATCTCACTCTCCAGCTGAAGCTCGCAGACGATTTGAATTCCCCCCCCCTCCCAATTTCTAGGTTTTATAACTTATGAAGTGAAAGCTGTTTCCCCAGTGGTCAAGCCCTACAGTTCTCTGGGAAATCTCTGGGTATTTGTGACATACAGTCCTCAGCCTTTTAGCTGCCAGGTGCTTCAGAACCATCTCCAGACCGTTGATAATAAACAGGTAGTTCTCATGTGCATGAAGTAAAGCTATTTCTACTCAAGTTTATTTTGGATGAATCTGAGTTTGAAAGGTGAATGTTGTTATGATGTTATCAGTCTAAAGCATAACAATTCACAATAGAAATTAAAATGAATGATTGCTGCAGCCACACATTCCATTAAGAGACACCAAGTATTGTATCCACATTTTTGTTAACAGACTTGCACTGCCTTGGAGAGATTGTACTGTTGGAACTCATAAATTAGATTACCACATACTGCTTAATAATACAATACTTTATTCATTTGGGACTCAGCTAAAACTTTTCAAAAGGCTAGACACTATCCAAACAATTTAATATACTGTGTGTGAGTCTTGATATTTAAAACTCCAAATCTGCTCTCTATGTAGATACGTTTTCTTGTGTGACTAATGGCCAGATGAGTCACCAGGTTAAAAGATTGTTTTTCAGTCCGTTTTGATAAGCATATTAAAGAAATAAAGTTGTGAATAACTATTAGGGTTTGGTTTATTCTCAGTGTTGACTGGGATCGATTTATTATCTACTTTTGTAGTACAGTTGATACCCTTGAGGTACTACCAGTTGATCACTACTATGAATTAATATGGAGCTAGTTACAAATTTCTGCATTTGCTCTAGGTGGCATTTCCATACAGCACTTAGCGAGGGCTGTTGAAAGAGCCCATGGGATTTTGTAAAAGCTGAGCTGTCTGCCAAATACTATCATGTATAGGTCAGACTGTGACCAATATGTGAGAGGTGAAATGAGGCCTGTTTTGCTCTGATTCAGTGTGTTGCAAACAACACTCGTTGTTGCAAACATACAGTTCATTTTTATTGTTTTCTAAGCCATGATGCCCCTTTTTGTTTCCATCCAAACACCTGCAAATGTCTGTGCTAATATATTCTCTAAAACAGCCCCATCCTGAACTGAAGGTAAGCTTTTCCTAGCAGAGTGTGGATGTGCAAAAAGGCTGAAATGTTCCAAGTTTCTTGTGTTCACACTAATTCTGAATTGCTAGTGAATGAAGAATGAGTAGTGGGGTAAGGGAATATCAATAATGAAAAATAAATAGTGCTGTTTTTTCTTCCTTCTGAAACCAGCACCCACAGCTGGTCATCGAATATTTTTTACTACACTAATCATAACTTCATCTATTATCCTCTACTTCTGGCATTGCCAAGTAAATTCTTTTTCTTGCTCTCTCACCCTTCCTTCCTTTGAACTGTACTCCATTGATGGCTAGGGAGATTTTAGCAGTGAGACTTCTCGGATCATACAAGTATCCACATATGTGCCATGATGTGCTGCCCTATCATCAGCCATAAGAAGTAAATGGGTTGGAAGCTTCAAACAGCCAGGTCCCAGAGAACTGCTGTAGCCGTCACAGGTGGGGGCACGGTCCCTGTGCAGAGCCCACTGACCTGAACATGACCTTCAGACATACAACAAGCATCTGGCGAGGCGAGGCAGTGCTGCGCTCACAGCCTCCAGTTCATCTCCAGGACAGAGCTGTCTCAAGGCAGGGTGACTCAGCAGGGCTGCATCCTCCCTCCCAGATCAGCCTCAGGGGACTCCAGTGTGATGCCTGCTCCCTTTCCTAGTGATTTCACAAGCTCTGCAAAAGCCATTTAAGAAAATTTTGGGCAAATGCATGGCTCCTCCTTTTTTGTTGATGAGGTATGTGGGAGACCATAGTAATACATGATTTATAGGATCTAAGGTACTTAGTGGGCAATTTTATTTTTTTAACAGAAACTTTCATGATGGTCCCATAACAAAACTGGACTGCTAACAGCTTAAAAAATTACTCTGGCTTAAGATGGGCTTGTGCATTACAGTCGCCTGTGGCTGAGCCATTTGCCTCAATTCTAGATGGAAATGACCATTTAAATTGCTATTTCAGCAACAAACACGTTGCTGTAACTGTGCGTGGCAAGAAGTTCATCTTGAACCCATGGTTGCAGTATCTCTTTTTGGGATAGGATGCCCATTAGTGCTCCATTTTGCACAGATACCTAGACAGCATGATGGGAAGGAGAGAAAAAATGAGAATGACTTCCTGAGATACATGAGCTGCTACCACACATACATACAAATGCCCTTATGGAAAACTGCTAGTTATGTTACTCTGTCACTCTGGAAGTGACCTGTTTACTCTTTGGATTCCTGCTCCTGCCTTCATGCAGGTAAGAGGCTTGAGAAATCATGACTGCATCATGTTGGGATATTCATCCTCTCATATGTGAGCCATGAAGCACATAAAGGTCAAGCCTGTGTTTAATAGCTTCATACTAAAAAATAAAACACTGTCACTGGAGGAGCTTTGTATGGTACCATGTACCTGTGCACCTTCATTTCATGTTTTAGTGTAGGATTTGACTTGGCAGAGTGTTTTCAAGATGTTAGTGTGTATGTCTGCTTGTTCTACACTGAGATCAGCTTTGGGGATGAGCTCAGGAACTTGACTCCTTATGCTGACTGAAAAGCTTCTTCCTCTGAGCTGGCCAGCTGTCCCAGATGGATGGGTGGTAACTGTTCAGTGGCCACATATGAAGTAGGTTGGAAGCAGCAATACCAATTGGTGAAGTGGTCATGTCTTTTCATTTTGAAAGACTATTTGAATCCACTAATATAAGATGATCTGTTGATAAAAATCATTTAATTATTTTCCAGTGGTGGGGAAAATGATGACGACTCTGAGCAGAACTGGAAACCACCAGAAAATGACCTGATCCAGAAATTAATAGCACAGATTGAATATTACTTCTCAGATGAGAACCTTGAGAAAGACGCCTTCCTCCTGAAGCACGTGAGAAGAAATAAGATGGGCTATGTCAGTGTTAAACTCCTCACTTCTTTTAAGAAGGTGAGCTAACTTTTTAAGACTTGAAGTGCCTCATGTAAGCCTGATGCATCTAACATTAAGAGAGATGAAAATTACATTTTATAGAGGCGATTTTACAGTCTCTATCTGCCTCTCTAAGGGGTTGATTTTGTTTTGCTGTGATGGTTAGGTTTGTTCTCATCCAGAACTTTAATAGCTGAACTCCTTCATGATTGGCTAGGGAAATCATAGGCTTAAAAACATGTATGCTTTTAAATTATCATTCTGGGAGAGAGGAGAACATAGCACCTGGGACATCAGATAAAATGAATTTTTATGTCAACTACTCATGAGTAGCTGAGTAATCCTGGTAAAGTTATATTCCTGTCTCTGAGAAGGGATGGTGAATCTGATCTTTGCAATTGTATGAAGATCCAAAAATTAAGAGTAGTATAAAGTAACTGATAACTGAAGTCACTTAAAGGTGAGATTAGTTCTATTATTTTTTTCTTAAATTAGGAACACCAATGTAAATATGTGTATGTAACCAATTTCTAAAATTGCAACAGAAATACTTTGTCAAGATTCTACACCTAACACTTTGCAGAGTTTTTCAGTCTAGAAGCTGAGGCACTCCTGGCTTCTTCAGACCACTTCAAACAGATTATATTGGTGATAAACCACTTAAAGGAAATGGAGAAGTTTGGGGTTTTTTTTAAGCTGTTTTGAGGGAGGAAAACCAGTTCAAGACAATGAAGTCCTAAACTTGACAAAACTTCTTGCTTGGCAAATTTAACAAAATAAACCTGCCAGAAGAACACACATTTTGATCGTGGTTCAGACCTACATGTGGAATGACCAAGCATCCCTTGAGCAGGCTTTCAGATACAGTAACAATTTCCAGTTTGAGCTTTAGTGTCAGTTCCTGTTTCCATCAGATTCAACAGGCCATGAGCTTTACAGGAGCTCACCAAGGCCCATTGTAGCAGGAAAACTGTTTACTTTTTCACCAAGTCTGCTACATGAAACTTAAATCCCACTTTCTGTTTGTAGACTGCATCTGCCTTAAAATTCTGTAATTAGTCTGAGTGGGTTTGATCAGTTGTGGTGTTTAACCTGTGTCTGTCTCCAAGGTGAAACACCTTACCCGTGACTGGAGAACCACGGCCTACGCACTGAAGTACTCGGACACTCTTGAGCTCAACGATGACAACAAAAAGGTTCGAAGAAAGACTCCAGTTCCACTGTTTCCAAGTGAAAACGTCCCTACCAGGATGCTACTGGTGTATGACATCCATACAATTTCTGACCTTCAGGCTCTTAATAAGCAAGAAAATGGATGCATGCAAGAAAGGATAATGGAGCATCTCCTCAAAGCCTTTATAACTTTTGGTGTTATTTCATCAGTTCGTATTCTCAAGCCTGGCAGGGACCTACCACCTGATATCAGGAGGGTCAGCAACCGGTACACCCAGCTGGGAACTCAGGAATGTGCAATTATAGAATTTGAAGAAGTAGATGCTGCCATACGTGCTCATGATTCAATGTGCACCGAAAAGAAAGAGACTGGCATGAAAGTTGTCCTCATAGGAATGAAACCACCAAAGAAAAAAGTTCCCAAAGAGAAGAACCACGATGAAGATTCCAGCAAGAGTCTTAAGAAGACTCGATCCCTTAATAAGAGAGTGGAGGAACTTCAGTTTGTTGGTGATGAATCTTCAGCAAACAGCTCTTCTGACCCAGAGAGCAATCCCACATCCCCACTGTCAGGGCGCAAACGTACTGCAGCAAATACTGCATGTAATCTGAGCCCCATCATTCATCCAAATAACCATTTGAGTCCTAATGTGTCACCCAGATCAAGTCCTTGGAATAGTCCATCTTCACTAAGGAAAGGAACAAAAAAATCTCCACTGGCTGAAGACAGTAAGCTTAACCCAAGCACTAGCCCTGAAATTCCAAGGAAATGTACAGATTATTCCTCGGATAGCAGCATCACCCCTTCTGGGAGCCCCTGGGTACAGAGAAGAAAAGCCCAAACTTTCACACAAGAGAAGAGTTCCACCAGCAGTCCCATGTTGGTTAGGAAAATACAAAATGCAGACGGTCTCCCTGTAGGGGTACTGAGGCTGCCTAAAGGTCCTGATGGCACCAAGGGATTCCACAATGGCTGTGAAAGAAGGAAGGCTATGAAGAGTGAATAAACTCTTCTTTAAAAACAGGCTCACAAGTCAGCCAACTGCTGGTGACCAAGCCTGGTGAAAAATTGTCACTTCAGTGACTGAGTTAAGTCAGTATTTAATTTTACAAGCTTTTGTATTCGTATAGAGACTTTATCATTTGTATATTTTCTCCACAGAACAGGTGAGGTTGGAAGGCATCTCTGGAGATTGCCCAGTCCACCTCCTTGTCTCAAGCTACCAGAAGTCACTGAGCGGTTTGAGCATCTGTGAAGACAGAGACTTCCCTGCCTGTTTGGGTGATGTGTTTCCATGTTCAACCACCCACACAGTACAAAAGTGTTTCTTTACATTCAGGTGCAATTTCTGTGTTCCAGTTTGTGCCCCTTTTCCTGTTACTGGGTATCACTGAGAAGGGCCTAGTTCCGTGCTCTTTACTGCTTCCCATCAGGTATTTAAAAACACTGATGAGATCTGGCCCCAGAGCCCTCTCCTCTCCAGTCTGACCTGCTCTCTAGGCAAGATGGACGTGCCAGCCTTTTAATCAGCTGAATCGCTTCCCGAGTGCACTGCCCTTACCCACATCTATTCCTTTCATGTATTATTTTGAAATGCCTAAACATCCAAACAGACATATAAATCATTCATGTATATACATCATCTGCAGAGCTAGGATCCTGAAGAGCAGTGTGTAAATACTTACAGTTTAGTGGCTGTATTATGAGAAGGGTGGTATGTTACCAGTCTCATCATAAGGAGTTGAGGTTTTCAAGACTTTCTGTGTTTGCCTCAAAAGCAACCGAGAAAGTTATGCCACAGCGAGCAGTTGTTCTCATGTACATTGCCAAAGCAGTATTTTTTAGTAGGACCAGTGTGTATTTTCATGTGATGTGAGTAAAGACTGAGCATTGGAGATTGCTCTGTAAGTGTTCTCTCATGTAATCAGATGGAAATAAACAAAAATATTAACTCAGTCTAGATCTATTTTGTTTACTTTAAAAATAAGTTGAGTTTCACTTGAATAGATAACTTAAACCTCATACCATGTAATTCTAGTAGTAGTTACTCAAAATTTCCATTGCATTCAAGGAAAAAAGTCCCCTGCCCCACTACTGATGGTTAATTCTGTGGTGATGCTTCACTGTGACTGTGTGTCACAGTCATTTTTATATAATATTATAAACTAAACAGTGGTCACTGCTAACTCGGGATTTAACAAGCAGGCTCAGCAAGAAGTGTTTAAATTAAAATTAATTATAATCCTACCTGAAGCCAAAGAAGGAAACTGCAGTTTTACTTATAAAAGTTAAACTCTGGAAAACTAGCCCAGAGACAGTAAGAGGGTTTCAGGTTCTAAGGAACAACTTAGGAACTGCGCATGACAAAGGTCTCATCAGATGGTGATTTTTCATTCCAAAAGTCCACATCCTGTCCAATTTCCTAAGCATAACACTTCTGCAGTGTGAATAACCTCAGTAACAGTTAGAGTCATATGTATAGAAATCCTGATTCTGATTCTTCAGCCACCCACATAGATTTCTGGTTCTTTTACTGCACACAAATGGAATCTTCCAAGTTACCTCCTGACTCCCATTACCAAGACATTATAAATACTGCTGAACACAAAGTGGTGGGTTTTTAAATCACCAGCACGCCTGCAAATATCTGAGTGACAAAGTAAGTCTTCAGAAGAGGGATTCCAGAACTCCAGATTACACACAACTGCACTGGTTCACTATGTCCAAATGCTTGTGTCATGAATAATCAGGGAAGTTGGTTGTTTTTTTTTAATTATAAAACTGTGCAGCATCCATGTGCCATCGTGTACCAAACTATCTGGGGGCAGCACTACAGCTGATGCAAGGCAGTATCGTGAAGACACACAGAAGTAAATCAAATGGAAATATTGGGAATTATATATAATAATCCATATTGTTAAAAAGTCTGTAAGACATTGTATACCTGCAGAAAAACAAGGAAGTTGAAAATATCGGCATATACCTGGGCTATGCTCTCGGAATTAACATTTCTACCTCACATTCCACATGGAAACCTTAAAAATCCAATTTACTTCCATATAACACTAAAAGTTTGGAACTAAAAGTCTCAGACACTAATGATGAGTCTTACTTTGCTTTAGAAAATTTTACATATGATACAATGAGCACTGAGGATGACTCCTTAGTAAATAAATAGGAAATCTACAGTTTTTCTTCAATAATAAATCAAATACTGTGTTACTGAAGAGTTATTAGAAGGCCATGAGCTATGAAATACTATAAACTTATAAGAGAATGCCATCTTATTTGAGATGACTAACATATACTTAACTATAAAATTCTAGAAAGTTGCTCCACTTGTCTTTACAAAGCTTTCAATAAGAAAGAAAAAATACATTTATCATGGTAATTATTTTTGTTAACAGAAAATACAGACAAGCATGATCAAATAGTAACTGATAATGTGACCAGTGAAACTACTTGGAAAGTAAAGTACTGCTTATAGAGAAAAAGTCAACATATGGTCTTATTCTGGTTCAGATAATATATAAACCCACAGCTCTGCTCCAGATAATTTCCCTGCATCTCCAAAAGGGAGATGTTTTCTGCTTGGAAAACATTCTGTGGAAACCTCCAGTAGACACACAGACATACCAAATTCTTCGCTATCCTCCTCCCCAACCTTACTTAGGAGCCAGAGCTATGTTATACTGACTGTATTATGAACAGCTGTTGTATCATTGGACACACATTCAGTATTCCTCATGGAGCCCAGAACGTTTGATGTTTAATTAACCAATGTAAAAGGACTGTAGGTAGGAAACACCTTCTCTCCGGATACTTCCTGCACTAGCCAGCAATGCCCAGTGTTGGATACCGCTGCATGTGCATGTTCAGAGACATTCTGAACCCTCAGTAACAAAACACACAGGCGAGTGCACTGAGAGGGCACAGTGAACCCTGTGGCTGCCCGAGGCAGGGAGCCCTGGCTGCAGTTTTGTGGCTGGCAGGCAGCTCGTCTGCTCCAGAGCCTCGCCCCCAGGGAATCCTGCTTCTCTTCTGTAGAGCTCAAACACGCACATCCACACCTTGAAGGGGTGGTTTCAAAAACACGGAGGTTGAGGATATTTTTATTGCTTTTTTTTTTTACACAACAAACAGCAACTCTAAAAAGCATTTTAAGAATGAGACCACTTTGCACAAGTAGCTCAGGTACCGAAGGCGTTCACGATTCTCAACTGCCTGAACGCCACCACTGCCGAGAGCACCAGCATGTGCCACACAATCCACGGCAGCCTTCAGTCATACATGTACAGCAATAAAAACAGAGAAAATATTAAATTCCTTTGGGACAAATATTTCATTCTCCCTGAGTTTTTTTCTGTCTTCACATTCAATCAACTGCTCAAAACCTGAAAACAGAACAACAGATATACACACCACACGTCCAAACTGCTTGGGGAAACGCTGCCAACAGAGACACTTGAAACACCAACAGCTGTGCCTTCATTTTGTTCCAGCTCTCAAATATTTATATTATAATGACATATTTCAACTAAGTATTTTTTTTAAATGTCACATCAGCTGACAAGAAACAATGTGACAACACATTTGGAGTTTTGGTCACTGGTTGAGAGCCCCTCCCAACTATAAAAGAACATTTACTTCTGTCCCCACCAACAAAGGATACATTCCCATCATCTTCATTTTGCACAAGCAGTTTATGGCTGGGTTTATAACCCTGAAGTCTGAAAAAAGCTGGGGACTTCAGTAAAAAATGCTTATTAACTCACCGACTACACCCGAGCTGTTTAGAACAACAGTTTGATTAATCAAACAGAGCTGGTTTCAGTTTACACCATTGTTCCCTGAGCTTGGATTTCACTGCATTTGAAGCAAAAATATAGTTGATTGATTCATAGGAAAGATCCCACATCTGTGATCGAGTCAAATTAAATGTTTTTGCAACCAGCTCATATTCTTGTGATAGTTCAGTTGCAAAGACGCCTTTATCATCAGTCTGGAGTTACATTGAAAGAAAAGAAAAAAAAAGGTTAAATTAGTTCCTCTATATGAAAAAAAGTCTTTTTCTATACATACAAACCAGTTTTATCTTCCTGTCTCACATTTTATTCCACGGTTCTTTCATCTGTGCATAATTATTTCATCTCTATTTGCCCTATTTTCACTCAAAATGAATTAACTATTCAAACATAAAAGAAAACTTCTTAAAATAATGGCATAATTTATCAAGAAAATAGGATTACCTACTAAAATTGCTAGAAAGATGGCTATCAAATGCTGCATACATTCAAGTTATGTGCAGGTCTCCTTATTCCTCTTTTCCCTTTCCTTAGATCTGGGAACTAGAGCATACTCTGTGTTCCACATCTTCAAGGAAGAAACTCTCTGACCCTTTAGACAATGAAGGATTGAGGCTTATTTTAAAAATAAGCACAATGCTATTATATTTATATACACACACTTGGACAATGCTACAGATTATGGGGGTTAAACCAACAGGATGATAGTGAAATCCTGCCAAGAGCAGCACAAGTACTTGGCACCTCAGTGTTTAAGGACTTTAACGAGCTGTCAAGAGAACACAAGAACTCTCACCCAACACAATGAACCCCCTGGTACACACAAGTGTATGTGCAAGCACTGGACCCCGTGTTTTAAGAGAAACCTGTCAGTATGCAAACAGCTATGAAGGTCATTGCATGTATAGCTGATCATCTTATCCACACAGAAAAAAAGACCTGGCTTTACAACAGAACCAAGAGAAGTACTATCAATTCCCCTTTGTATTACCAGCATTTCTCAAACTGAACATTCTGATTTCCTGAAAGTGAATGATTTGCTACAAGGTCAGAAACTGTAAGTCAGCTCCGATCCATTAAAGGAGAAATGCTTCTCCAACTTCACATTAGCTTGGCTCTTTGCCTAAATACATGGTTAAAATCAAAAAACTTACACAGAGCACTGCAGGATGGCCCATGCTGTACCAGTATCCAAAATGGTGTTTGTCACAGGAAGGCACCGTCTGAGATTTTATGTTTGATGTCATGCAGAGTTCTAGGGGAAAAAAAAAAGAAATTAGGATATATATCAAAATGAGAGAGATGTTTTTGACATGTTAATTGACTTATTTCTGTTCCTGAATAAAAATTAAAATCAGCTACTGTTGTTTCCTCTATTTTCTAACTGCTTCTTTGGTAACTTCTTCTGAGGAAAGTTTGGTAATCAATTTCTACAAGGTGTAAAAGTCTGGGAGCTTGCAAACCAGATATAGAATCACCACAGTCTCGCACAGTAACTGTAAGTTATAATTCAGTTTTGTTTTCATCTGAGACATCAATTGTCTGCTGCCACAAACACATCAAAAATCCCCAAAGCATTATGAGTGTACCTTGAGGACAATTCCCACTGCCATGTTTGCCTAAGCCACGTCTGGTCCAAGACAAACTGGAGTCACTAGATCAGCAGTCCATGTGCCATTCTGCAATCTAGAGATCGAGCCACTGTAAATATTTTTTTCCTTACCAATAGGTATCCGGTTCTGTCGAACAATTGACACTAACTCTTCTGAACCTGCTGCTGTGGAGTTGAGAAATGTTCCATGTCCAATTCTGTCAGGAGGCAGGCCCAGGAGAATTTTGGTCTCCTCTTCTTTATTAGGAATCTAGAGGGGAAATATTTTACATTCTGTCAAAGCAGTGTCTTGCAGCATATTAAATAATTGCAGTGGGCTTCAAGTTCTTTTTTTACAGCAAGTCTTATCCAAGAGAAAGTGTTAGTGAAATAAGAAAAAGTATAAATAGGCCTGTGACATCCTATGTCCTGCTTAATTTCCTGAAAAAATAAAACTATCTTCAGGATTTATCAGATTTGTCAGAGTAAACTCCAGTCATCACTTCAGCAGATTGCATGGCAAAGCCCAACTCTCTACTAATACAAGCAAGGTTAACAG